TTTGAAAATAGTGATGTGGATGAGAAGCCGAAGGATTCTGATAGCAACCAGTGTATTTATACTGATACAGAATATGTAAGACCTTGTGCTAACGGTGACAAGAAGAGATGCCAAGAAGTAGAAAATGCCACAAACCAAATCAATGATCCAGTTCAACCTTTTCAAGCAAGCCAGAAATCCAAGTATTGTGAGTGCTTGCTGACACTAGGCCAAGAGGATCTGGAGGCTGCAATTAGAAAAATATCCCGTGACTCTTCCTTGGATCCTCAGAAGAAATCATATATGATCCAGAACCTGCTAATGAGGTTGGTCCCGTCCCTTTTTTTTTGTTTCTCTATCATTTTTCTCCCTTTTTTTATGAGGAAATTATACAATCTATTGTGAAGGAAAGAGGCAAAATACCTTTATATATGTAAGAGTAATTTGAGTATTTTATCGACATGGTTTATTCCTAGTATAAGAGGAAAAATTACCTTGGTATGAGTAAAAGTAATTTGAGTATAACATCACCTTGACGAAACTAGCTTATAGGTCAAATTTAGAAGAGGTAGTGGAGTAGGTTGGACCAAAGAAGTAAAGTTATATAATTTTGTATTTTGTACATCAGAAATCTGACAAATATGAAATCACAAAAGTCCTTAAGACTTGTAAGTGCTTTTTCTTACTTTGTAACATGTCTGTTTGTCTCTACATGCTCATAAAATATGACATAGAACAAAGTGAAATCTTTTCAATATTTATATTGTTTCAGCCGTTGGATAGTCAGACAACACTCTGAATTAAGAGACACAAGTAATGGGAAAGAATTTCCTGGTCAGCATCCATCCTATCAGGACCCTTTTGGACTAACCTTTGGTTGTAAACACTATAAGAGGAACTGTAAGCTTGTTGCTGCCTGTTGCAACCAGCTATATACCTGCATACGCTGCCATGATGAGATGGCTGATCATACAATAGATAGGTATCAACAGTCTGAGTTACAGTTCAGGCATTTAGCCTGTGAAGATTATAGTTTTCTTTTTCTATCTTCTCAGTTTTGATTCTTATATGATACATATGCAGGAGATCTATAACAGAGATGATGTGCATGAAATGCTTGAAAATTCAGCCAGTAGGGTCCACATGCTCAACTGCATCCTGCAGTAATTTTTCCATGGCAAGATACTTCTGCAGGATCTGCAAAATATTTGATGATGAACGGTAATTTATCCTGATTGGCCTGCTTTGTTTTAGCTCTTTGCTTGTAAGATAATACCATGTTAAATGGGTGACTTTAAAAGTTTCACCATAACAAGCACTTAAACTCCTTCCCTCTGAAACAAAAGTCCAGCCTCTTTGTTGCTTCTATTGCCTCAGAAAATGAAAACGATATAGAAATCATAGTAGGAAGCAGATACTAAGCTGACCAGAGGAGTATTCTTGACTTCAAATTAAGATGGAGATGGCCAAGGCTCAGAAATCTGCTAGGCAACTTGCCACCTCCAGTTACCTATTTCTTAAATGGAACAACTTATGACCTTGTCAACAGTCAGTAGCTACCCTGGTGTAGAACGCATGTTTGGAAGTGTAGAGTATAATCTATAATCTCATTACATCATTATGTAGGCAACCTTAGTTCTCTGGTCTAGTCACCACAATGACTGGATTGATCTGTACTGTTAAGGAATTAAGTACTTCTGGCTGCCTCTATGTGCTAAAATTCTCTAGTGATTAGAATGGTGTCCTGCTTTTCCCCCATTTTGTATGACGGCAGCGAGTGATTTGGGATAAATTTAATGCTACCTTGCCATGCCAATTAGCTATTTTACTGTTAGATTCACCACTACCAGATTTTTTTATGGTTCTAACGAAGAAGCTGTATAACAGGGTTATCTACCATTGCCCTTATTGTAACTTGTGCCGACTTGGAAAGGGATTGGGTATTGACTACTTCCATTGCATGACTTGTAATGCTTGTATGTCCCGTTTGCTAATGAAGCACACATGCAGAGAGAAATTATTCATGGATAACTGCCCTATTTGCAATGAGGACATCTTCACATCCACCTTGCCAGTAAAGTCCCTTCCATGTGGTCATTTGATGCACTCAACATGTTTTGAGGTATTTGCCTTTCATAATTTCTCGCTTTTCTACTTGGAGATTTTGCATATATTCAGACTTCTTTACTGCTGGTACTTCTGATGCTGCTTCTAGGCCTACACCTGCACTAATTATACCTGCCCAATCTGTGGCAAGTCGCTTGGGGACATGCAGGTCAGTTACCAAATATTTTCTGTAGCCTTTTGCATTTTAGTTACTTTTAATTTGTTAGAATTTATATTGCCGCAAACAATACATTATTTTAAGAAAAGAATTAAACTTACGATTAGAAACTTTGAAAAACAATGGATTCTCTGCATGAATAAAATGTAAACTTACTGTTAAGATATTGTCTTGAGCTTAAGCTATAAACTAAGAAACTCTCTTCAGCGGATTCAGTTCATCCACTTGCTTGATATGTTGAATTGTATCCAACCGAGTTGTGTGACGTCACACGGCCCTTGAAACATATTGCAGGTGTATTTTAAAATGTTGGATGCATTTTTGGCCGAAGAAAAAACTCCAAATGAGTACTCTGGCCAAACTCAGGTTTGTCATCCCATTTTTCCTCGTCATACTCTCTCACTAGCTTCTAATGCTTCCAGACATAGATATATATGTATATATGTTCATTGACTGTCAAAAGAATTGTAGGTCATACTTTGCAATGATTGTGAGAAGAAAGGAGCTGCTCCTTTCCATTGGCTTTACCACAAGTGCTCCTCTTGTGGTTCATACAACACCAGGATTCTGTGACTCAGTCCGACACAATAGATGATGAAGCTACTTTATATGTAAAGAAATTAAATTTCAACACTTATGTTATGAATATGTATATTAAGCTCCCTTATTTTGAGATCTTAATTTCATAATGTTGTCAATTATTTTAATATGCTATAGTTAGTTCATTAAGTTAAAACACTGCGCACAGTTATCTGGAGATAGAAAATGTTATTCAAATAAACAAATAGTCGATTATAAACTCATTTGTGAAACATTGAAAGCCAAGTTCTATACAAAGAAGAAGAAAAAAAGCTCAGTATTGTGGATTTTTATTTATTAAAAAAAAAAAAACAAAATTGTTGGTGTTCCCGTGTGAATTATCAATTCGAGATGGAAGAAAATAAAATACTTCATCTAAAGCTTACTGATCAGTTGACGCTGGTAAGACTATAGCATGACGCAGCATTCTTCAATGCGTTCTCCGCATACTCCATCGATTGTGTCGTGTCCTTAAATGATTCTTCGGAGCTGCAAGTAAAATGTTGCATCATGAAGAGAACAAAACAATGAACCAGAACCTTAATCACAATCATTTAGTGCTTTATATTACATAACCAAAGTGATTATAAAAAATTGTACCTTGACTCGTAAGCCTCTTTGGAATCAATGTAGGACTGTCTGTCGTCGATGGTGTCAAAAAAGGGATGCAGCTCATCATAATCTTGAACATCTGGTTGGAGAGAGAGTGGCTGAAGAACTCCCAGTTGGGATTGAATTGTCTCTGAATTGTCATTGTTGCTGTTGTTGTTAGTGGTACAAGGATTTGAAACCCACAAAGGATTTGCAGCATTGTTATCCTTGGAGTCAATATAAACAGAGCTATAAACAGCATCACTGCTGTTAGAGTAAGACTGCTGTTGATGGTGGTGTTGTGTTACAGGCATGGCATTATTGTTATTATTATTGTAAGGCTGTGGGTTGTGATTGAAAAGAGGGAGGGAATTATTAGGTGGAGCCATGCCCAGTTCTAATTGTGAGGTTACATATTCAGGCACAGATGAAATCTGATGCTGGTGGTGGTGATGTTGCCTGTACATTGCAAGCTGGGCCTGAACAGCTTGAAGCTCTTCCTCTGCCAGCAGAAGTTGGTATTGTAGTTGCCAAATCACCTCCCAACAGCCGTAAACCGGAAACTTGTCACGAATATTGGCCTGGTAAATTATGGACCTCATGGCCTCAAACTTCATTTCAGGCTCCAAGTTTTTAAGTATTTTCACGATGTTGCTAACTCCAAATAGCTTGTGTGCGTTTTGGAACATTTTGGGTTGGTCTGCTGGGAAAAAAGGGGCCAAAGGGCACTCGGGGGTGCACTTTCTTCTTTGGTATTTGCACGCAGCACAGGCCGAGTTAGTGGCACCCTTAAGGGTCATGTTTGGAGAAAACAAGGATTGGAACCAATGTGACAGACGAGAGAAGGAAAAACCCAGAAAGCAATTGGAGCTGCGTTTGAGAAGAAGAAGATGATGAAGAAGAAGAAGAGTGGCGATGAGTTGAACAAGAATGAGGAGGAGGAAGAAGAAGAAGAAGGTGAAGGAGGAGATTGTTGGAAGTGATATGGGAGACATTTTTTTGGATCTGAAAAGGTCTGGTAATGTGCGGATTTACTGGAAGTAGAAGAGACTGAGTAAAAGAAAAGTTTGAAGAGGAAGCGAAATAGACGGGGAAGTCTCTCTGTGTGTATGACCGTTGGAGAGAAGAGTCCTGAAGTTATGGGACACTTTTATGGTCATAGCTACTTCGCACTGACCCGTCTCTGCATGACATGGCTTCCCAATTCTAAATTCTAATTTACTTCTTGAATTTTTGATTGGGTGAAGTTGTTGCAGATATAGGTTAAGTCAATTGGACAATGCAATGAGTCATTCCCTAGCATTCAAATTCGAATCCACATTTCAGTAGGTTAGAGTAATTTAGGTTATCGCTTGTATAAAAAACGGTTCGGTGAAGTTTATCATCCTTCTTATGACTACATATTATATGAGTGTTCAATTGGAATGTGTAACACGTGCCAAAATGGTAATGTAGAGCATAACCAGTTAACTCACTCAAACTTTGAAATGATAAATTATACAAGAAAATTTTATGGGGAGGAGAAAGGGCAATAGAAGATCTTCATTAATTGAACCCAATTGTAGTATCAAGATGAAGCAACAAATTTACTTTAAGCTGAAGTTGGAAGACCCAAGGGGGGTGGGGGAATAGGGCTATCTATACATACAAAACCTTTTTTTTCAAAATTTGGGGGAAATATAATATAACAAATAGAAAGCGTCTAAAAAAGACTTCGATTTGCAAAACCTATAATTCCCCCGTTACAACTGTTACATGCTCTGAGAAACAACTGGCAATCAAGGCCATTATGGAAAACGGCAGTTTATAAGCTCCTTAAATGTGAACACAGCCAGACAACTTAGTTGTTATGCCTTCTTCTTCTTCATCATCAACAAATCCACCTTAAAAGGAAAATTGCAGGAACAGGTGACCTGGTTATGTTGAAAAGTTATTGGAGGTAAACATAGAACAACCTTACACTTTTCGGCTCCTCAATTGCCTGCTTATGCTGAAACTCTCTTCTAGATACATGGTTCTTCCTTGAGGACCAGTTGCTCCCACAAAAATTCTTCATTATATCACAAAACTGTTAATCTATATCAGAACTCTGGACTTCAACTGAAACATCTCAGACGTTGTGAACTTTACTGTCTAACTGGCAGGGTACAGAGGAATTCATTACTATGATTGGTTCCTCGCCACAGATGATGAACTAATGTGAAGTCACTTACAACACCAATGCTCTCTTGTGAAGTCTAAGAACGTAATGAGATCCACAAAAAGCCTAGTTTACAGCTTCAAAGAAAAGAACTTGTGGTTGCAAATGCCCTTTTTCACACATTGTAAGAACATCAGCCCAGCCACCAATCACCTAGACATCAGACACAAATTATAACAAAGGGCGAAAGGAGAGCAAAAGAAGGCATTATTTTTACACTAGGAGGTGAATTTACCTTGACAGTTTTATCATCGTACATAATCCAGCATTCACGGTCATGACTATAGGCAAAGCAATGATAATGTTGACCATAGTAGCAAACCTGAAAGTAAACAATGGATATGAGGTAACAACAAATTAAGAATACCGGTATAAAGTTCTTGTCAAAGCAAATTCAATATGAGATTCAAAAGTTATGCAGGGATAACAAAGGAGTGTTTTCAATCAGACAAGATTTTGGAGATATCACGAGATTCACAACTCCAAATAGAAAACAAATAAACACAAATGGCCGCATAAACCTACGTTTATGGTTAAGAAAGTTAAGCCTTCAACCTTCAACCAAACTCAACTTTCCTATTTCACAATCAGAGGAAAAATACGCAACAAAAGTTTGGGAAATAGAACGCTAATATATTCATGACAACAACATTGAGGGTTATTAGTTAAATACGCATACCACAGAAACCAAGTTATGCGTGCTCTTTGGATCCAGGCCACGATAAAGGACACTGATATCTATCTCAGTATTAAGAGCTGCCAACGTTGCTGTTATATCATCAGCACTCTCGCATGTCTTCTGCCAACCCAGAACTGCATGACCAAACATAAATATACATATATTAGTTTAAATGGAAATCCAATTTCCTCTTTACAAACATAACTGAAGATTCTCCCCACAACGCTTCCAAGTCACCTGTTGTGAATACATGTGGTGGGGTTGAGAGAATGTGATGGATATAGTTGAGCTTCCCACAGCCACCAGCCTCGGGATCACAGGCTAACTGATGATTCATCTCCACAAGATTTAAAAGCTCATCATAGGAGCTTTCTGCACACATAACCTGAATAGCAAAGAATGATAAAGAGAAATGGGAGCAATCAGTTAACATGCCAAACACAGTAATAAGTTGCTTAAACTAAAAAAATTTAACCATCAGGATCACGAAAGTTCCAAAGTGATACCTTCATTGTTCGGAGAGCACTTGCATTTATGTTATGGAAGAATGAAGTGTACTTGAGATGTCTTGACTCCAAACTACAATTGTAGCAATTCATTCGTTCAAAAATGTCCATGCCAAAGATGGAATGCACTATACAAGCATTGTTTGAACAATCCCAAGACCCCGGACAACTACTCTCCACTGATTCAGCATCAGATACACTTGAACCAGGTGTAAATGCCCGGTGAAGACACTCGAATATCACCACCAAAACTTCAGAAGCATCATTCATCTGAGCCTGTAAGTTTCTATTATATTAGTCCCAACTTTAAAAATAAAGATAAATTTATGAGCCAGTGATGACTTCAGAATAAATATAAAAGTCGTTTGCGAGGCAAGGGATACAATCAAGTTCTCCAAAAATACCTCCTGGAAGAAATTACTTTCTGGATACAGGTTGCTTAAAGCTATTCTCAAAGAAGTAGGGGCAACTGCTTCTCTTCGCATATCTGCAGATGCATTGCTCAAGGCAATGAAGATTTCATACAATGCACAGACAACACAAGGATCCCCCACATGCACATGCTCTGATGTTGATCTTTGTAGGAACTCATCTCGAAATAGTCTAATATGCCACAAGGACTGAAATGATAAAATAAAAAGCAATGTTTCAATATCAGCAAGATGCTCAGGAAATATGAAATACGACAACTGAACGAAGAACATAAATAAGACAGCGCGAACCTGTATAATAACATTCAGAAAGCAGTTGTATTCACCAACTTCATTCTTTAAACCTGTACCAAATATATCAGTTTCACTCGCATTTTCATTTGTGATGTCATTATGTAAAACAGCACCACCATCTACTTCTGTAGATATCCTTTTAAGCATCCTTGAATTTGAGACTATGGGCAACTTCTGATGTTCTTGGAATGTGTCTGAGAAATGAATAAAAAGGTTAGGCAGTTGCACATACTACATACATCATAGTAGCAAGTGCTCAGAGCCTCATTTATTGGGAAAAATGCATTAGTGAGACGGCTAGTAGCAATACAATTTGGCAAGGTTTAGCGTATTTCTCAATCAGTCTCGTAACATCTAGGCCACACTGCATTAAACGCTCATTTATTATATAGATAAGACTAATGACTCAAATGGTCGATCACAGCATAGACAAAGAGAATAGACAGACCAGTGCCTATATAGACTGCATTTAGCGTATTTCTCAGTTCATGTTTATCACAGCATAGACAGACCGGTGCGTAAACTAGTCCAGAAGCCTGTCTATTAAGGCATAAATAACATAACAAAGAGAATTCCAAATAAATGAGAGAATAATTTTACCAAGGCTTTGGCGTACGGCCTTTTTAAGGTCAGCTTGGAACCTTTCTTCATCATCTTCCTCTGCTCGTTGCTGTCTCAGTTCATTTGTTCCGTTGTCTGCCAAAACAGTATTAACCGGTTTTCACTTGGCAAAAGTCATGGTCATATTAATTCCAAATTCCAAAAAATGGATGACACATGTAATGCACATCTTGTAGCAAAATGCCAACAAAGAATGAGAGTAACATTGAAAAATAAAGATGGGTGTTCAAATAAAAGGGCATGAACTTCATGCTAATGAGACCATAGGAAGGATCATTAAGTACATATAAAATTCTAAATTTATAATAAACTACAAGAGAACACTTGGACAGGCAAGTAGAAAGAGATTACCAAGTAGAGATTCATACTACATAAGAAAAATCTTTTCGTAAAAGTATTACCAAAAATAATTTTCCATTTACTATAAATGAGATTATGAGCAGATAAAATTGCCCAGCCACCAAGCAAACAATGACAGAGCAACTAATGTCGACACTGTCCATCATACTGCCAAAAGGAGCTTATCAAACGCTCTATGCTAAAATCAACACTCAAGTGTTTAGATCCAGCCTTACACTCTTCTTGACTATCATATATTCAGTTTGACTAAAACAGCAGCTGGAATATTAACAATGGACTAAAAAAAATACACCTCCCCCACCCACCCCCCAAAAAAAGGAAAAAAAAAAAAAAAGGCACCCAAACACCATTTATATTATTCAAACAAATATGCTCATGGAGGATGTGTAAACTTACTGCTGTCTGCAAGGAGACTGTCATGTGACCTGCTTTGTTCTCTCAAGTGACCCTCAACAGTTGACCTTCCAACGTCAACATTTTCCTTTTCAGATGCCAGGGCTTGAGACTTTCCATCAGGCACCTTTGTGGAACTCCTCTGCCTTCGATTTTTCCTTACTGTTCTTCGATCAGAAGGCAAATAACCATCCTCCTCTAGAATTCCTCCATTAGGTAGGCCTGTTCAATAAGATGCACCATGAAAACATCTCCTATAATTAAATTAACACCAGCCTCATCCAAGGAATCCTACACCAACCTTGGTTAACTTTAGCTTGATGTGCACCACCAATCATTTGAGCGCCAACCCTTCTACATTGTTGGGGAATCCAGTCTTCTGTGCCAATGGCTCCTGGAAAGTACACTTTCATGAAGTTTATTACTTTTATAAATATCCTCTAAATTAGACAGCATGGAATTCCTCTTCAAATATCTTCAGTATCCAGTTTGATGTACAAAATATTGATGGAAATAAATTTAGAGAGAAGAAAACACATACGAACAGGCACAACCTAACAGTGATTACCTGCATAGAAAGCTTAAATCGCTCATGCACATCTTCATTAGCACAAGGCTCCAATTTAACATCATGGGTCCCCTCTGCCACCTTCTCTGCATGCATTTGAGTAGATTTCTTACTTTGCTCAGCTAGGTGCTTCTGCTTAGCTTCCTTCTCAATTTGTCTTTGATATTCTAAAGTTTCTTCAAGCTTTCTTTCCTCTGCTTCAAGTTCAATTCTTCGTTTAGATTCCTCTTCCAGTTGTTTCAAGTCATTGCCATTCACAGAAACAATAATCTCAGAATCCAGAAGGTCACCATCAGATGCAACTGGAAACGAACTGCACCAAGAAACACATCAAATGTACATTAGAAACAAACTATATCCAGCGTAAGCAATCATAACGAATGGATAGCTTTATAGGATAGAGTCAACATGAGTGTGCATATTAGGAGAAAGGAGACTTACAGTTCAGAAGTCTCATCGTGATGCATGTGCTCGTCCGAGACACCATTAACCTGCAGATGTGAAAAAAGAAGGCTGGGTATCAGGATATCCTAATGAATTTGTAACCTATATATTGACCAGAAAACACAATTAAAACCTTAGAATCTTTTGCTTTCCTATACTCCTTGTTCTTCTTCTTATCCTTGGTTTTCTCCTGCGTATGTCGCAAACTATCATTTCCTCCTCTGACAGCTTTCTTAGAATCAAGTGCAAGTTCTGCCAAAAATGCTTCTCTTGCAGCATCAGACTTTTCTGTGGCATCTCTCTCAGCCAGATCCTCCAAATGTGCCTATAGGTAGAGAAAAACAAGAATACATACAGTTAAATTCAGAAACACTAAATGTGGCACAAAAATTCAACTTGTTTAATATATACCCGCAGGTATGACTTCACTAGAGGCAACAGTATCGACCGATAATCATGAGCAGAAACAGGTTCAAGCTTAATTTCTAATTGCTGCATTCCAGTAACATTTCGCATAATCCTTGCATCTATTGTGCTAAGCTGCATGACAAAACAACTGAGGTAAAATAACAACGATCTATATCATTATTTCAATGAAAAGGTAAGCCAATTTAGAATCTACCAACTGACCTCTACATATAACTGTTCTTTCTGTCTCTGGATTGCAACTTCTACACAAGTGTCCACCTGATGCACATAATCCTTGGCTCTCCAATCATCATCTTCCCCAGATTCCAAGTCACATAACTGAGAAGTCACACCACCATAAGTTTCCTCATATCCGAACTGATTAATATTTAGGTGTTCAGATTCTTTTAAAACATTTGATATGGCATCTAACTCAATCCTACTGCTGAGGAACATCACATCATTCTCTCTCTCAAGAAGCTCTTCTCTTCTCTTCCTTAGAACAGATTCAAAGCTTCGATGGGAAAAGTCCGAGACATTTTCCCTCTTCTTACCTTCTTCAACACAAAGATCTTCCACTGCCTGTAATGCTTCTTCATAGCTCAAATGCTCACATTTTCTCTCACAAAGTGACTGCAGGTGGTAAAACTCCTTTTCAAGCATCTGAAGGATTTCCATCCCTTGTTGTGTTTTCTCTTCTTTCGTACGTACCCATGATGTCAATTGTTCCCCACTAGTTGGACCTGCAAATATCCAGGACAGCAGAGCATCGGAATCAGGAAGAACACCATTTCCATTACCAACAGCAGCAGGAGCAGCATCAGTGACAGTATGATGACCAGCACCACATGTACATTCAGATGACAATAGACACTCATCCAAAAGGAGGCAGGATGCATCTCCGTTGAGAACAATCCTTTCTTTAATCTCAACACCCTGATTCGTGTTATTCACATCATCCATAGGACTGCTACTTTTCTCAGAATATCTACCTAAACCACAAGCATGGGACAAGTCCTGCAAGAATTTGAGGATTTTCCTGAGTTGGTTAGCTCCTAAAAAGCAAATGCACATAGGTGTTTGCTCCACACCATGGTTAAGAAGCTGAGAACCAGAAGCCTGGAGCTCATCCATTGTAAATTGTATCACCCTGTTAAGATGGCTTGCAGCAAGATACTTGTGCCTGATAAGCACCTCAAATGAGGCATGAATTCTTTCAAGTAGCTTTGTGCGCTCCGAATCATCAGATATTGGCCAACCATTAGCAACAGAAGAATAAGCAATCGACCCATTGTCCTCACATTCTCCAAACTCAACATGGGCAATTTTCTCTTGGTTATTGCCCTCAATAGTACAGTCACTAGGACTGTCCCCCAGAACTTCCTTCTCAGGTGAAGAATCCCACGCATCTTTGAAGCACTCATCACAGTCCTTGGTATGAATCCCCGAGTAGAAATCCTCAAAAACCTCAGGGTCCTTGCATTTTCTTTGATCCCTAAGCATTCCAACTGCGGCCGACACATCCAATGGTTTCCAAGAACAATTAAGCAGCATCTCAATCCATTCATTGTCAACATTTTGAGGCAAAACTGACTGCATTTTCGGCATAAGATTTCCCATATGCTCTTGCACAACATGGTGCATATGGGACTCAGAATCCACGAACTTCTCATTACATCTACAACAAACCCAGAACTTCCAACTCCTATTACTCTCCGCAAATGCCAATGCTTCGGATAAAACCTCATTTGCCAAACCATCCTTAGACGAACTAAACTTTGCCTTAAGATCACTAACTCTAATCCTAAGTAACTCTTTCTTCATATCAATACTCATTGATTTCCAATACGACCTAACCCAATCTTTCCTCTCCGCAGAGGACCCATTTTTCCTCAAATTCCCAAACTTCCTTCGCTCACTACCTCTCTGGCTAGACCCGGAGGACGAATCCAATCCCCTATCACTCTTCTCACCATCATTCCCCAATTGGGGCACCTCAGACTTCTGCTGCAAAAGCCTCGCAGCTGCTACACGAACTTCAATCTCTTTCCTTCTCTCCTCCGGTGTCTTGGTCGCCTTTTTAATCTCATTTGGCCGCCTGGTTTGCACCAACCTCACCTCCATTGGGTCCTCAGTGACCCTCCGAATTGGAATTAACCGAAACTTCTCTTCCCCGTTGCCCAAATTCTTCATCCAAGTCGAGATTGAGGCGATATTCGACTTCTGAATCAGCTGCCTCAGCTCATTATGCACGTGCCCAATCCGTGCCTCTGTCGTCGATATCTTCTGCTGGCTCTCCTCCTGCAAACTCTCCTTCGCAGGATCGACGGGCTTCTCGATCGCCAGCGCTCGCTCACACTCCGTCACCACTTTACTCTTGCCCGTCGTTGTCGGCCTCGTAGAGCAAGTTGGCGTGCAAGTGCGAGAACTCGATCGAGTTCGGCGACAGCTCAACGGCTCTGCGCGCGGAGTCGATCGCGTTCCTCAAATGCCGCTGCTTCGCATTGGGGTCGTCGATAATCGCAGCGACCTTGACGCACACAGTGCCCTGGACTCGGTGAATCAAAGCCGAGTGAGCCGAGTTCTCGTAGCGCTGGCACGACTCCTTCATGAGCCGCAAGGCCTTGGTGTGGTTCCCGCGCCGCAGAGCCGTAAGGGCCCGCTCGCATTCGAGCTTCGCCGCCGAGTAAGACGAGCCGTCCGAGTCGATCGGCGGGG